CAAACATTTAAAATATTTCCATAAACTTCTTTGATATTCTTTGTGGCTACAGAGGCATTGTATCCCTTCTTGTATTCAAACAGCATTATATGCCATTTGAATACGTGTCTCATCGTATGCCATCACTATAAGTGATTAGGGTATACTAACTTTACACATTATATAGGCTACACTAAAGTGACATTTAGTCAGTTCATTTAACTATTATACATGATGTACAATTTTTGGGGGGTGGTTAATGAAAGTGTTCCAAAACACAACATTCATTTCTTGAGGACCTAATATCTCCAGCATACTGTGCAAAGCTTGTGGAGGGTTATTCAAAACAACTTTCAACTGTCATTGCTGCCAAAGGAGCTTCAACCAATTATTAACTGCATAATCATGTTAGGGGTGAACACTTTTGCAACATGTGTTTTCAAGATTTTTTGTGTTATATCACTAAAGTGAGCAACAATGCACCTTTTGTTCTTTGTAATTATTAGAAACTGGTCTGAGATTAATATAATAAATATTTTTGGCCATTGGAGTTATGTCTTTCACAAGAAAATAACTAATATTGATTACCAGCACAGGAGGGTGAAGACTTTTACAAGGCACTGTTAATATGTGATCAAGCACAATTAAAATATTGAAGACACATGGAAAGCAAGTTAAAACACACTTCAACACACTAGAATGCCAATCAAGAAAGTGAGAATTGATCTAGAATAGTAGAGGAAGCTAGCTGCACCAGTATAGATGGTGCAGTATGATTGGTGGAGAGTAGTTACATGATCAGCACATACTGAAAGGGTACAAAACTGATGGGGTATAAAGAATGGTGGGCTGTAGCAAAAGTTGTTTTTAGCAACGCTTAAAGGAAAGACTAGGATCGAGATAACTTTGGGTGAGAGGTGGTAGTACCATTTCAGAAAAGAAAATTATTGTAATTACTCTTGTGAGATCTTTTTTATAATACTTTATTTAGTTTTAGTCCATTTATTATAAGAAAACTATCTCTATACTAGTGCTATAAACTTGTAGAATAGTTACTATGAAAATATGCCACATGCTGTTCATGTGTAAAATTCAATCTAGCATTTCTGGATAGGTAATATAGATCTAAAAGACTATTTCACATGATTTGGTGATTTTTGCAACTGTCTGTAGGATGAAAGAGTACCTTCTTATGCCTTGAATGTACTCTTCTTAATGAAAAATGAATCACACTTCCTGTCATCTAACAGCTCAAATGTTTTAATTTTTAGAAAATACTACTAATGGATTTTTTCCTTGCAAGTCTTTGTAGATCTTTGTTTCATCACTGTATAAATTAATAAATTCATACTTTTCACCATCACAAATTAAACCATACAGTTCAACTCATCTACTGCACAGGAAGGAATAACAAAATTTGCTACTTACCTAAAGAAAAGAACAGTCTGGGTTATAATAAATTAGAACTATCATGAGTTAAAAAAAAAAAAAGATACTTAAAAAATCCATTTTAGTATAATGAAATTATAAGAACAAAACTTGGTTTAGAAATAGAAACTTTTGTTTTTGGAATTTACTAACTTTAAATGCAAGCAAGGAGGGTCAAATAACCATATATACTATAATTTCTTAGAGACAAAAGTTCATGCAATCCTTTCTTCTTAACACTAATTTTAGAAAGACAGCAAAACAATTACTTACTCGTAGTTTATAAATCTACAACCTTGAGTTACTTGTGCTGATTCATTGGTGAAATGGCATGCAAACAAAAGGAGGTTTCGAGGCTGAACCTTCCAAGCAAATCGCATGAACAACAAAGAGTAGATGCACAAAGCTAGAAAATCAAATGTACAAAAGGTTTCACTACATAAATCATATTTATTAAATGTTGAAGAGTAATTTTTTTCAACAGTACAGCCATATAAAAACATTGATAAATATATTTTGAAACATGCATTTACATGTAGATATCTAATGCACAATGAGTTTGTTTGGCTATTGTTGACAAGTTTAATTCACCTGAGAGCATAAAATTTAATTTGTTATTTATTTATTTGCTGTTTATACTGAGTAAATATGAAAAACAACAAGCGAATAATGCATTACATTTTCAAGGGTAAGAGAAACAAAATCAAAATAAATTTTTTCTACTAATACCCAATAGTTTGGCTTCCATCTTTCTCAAGGATTAAATGCCAACTGTTTTGACATCAAAGGTGGAAAGAAATACTCTTGTATACAACTCCAAAACCATTCTTTTTATTTTGGACATAATTTTAATTTATATTCTCAAGTCTTACATGCATTTTAGCCTCACCAAGTAGCTTTTGGTTCCTCCATATACAGTGAGGTTAGATATTTTATCTTAATCTTATTTATGTATGTTTTAGTCAAAGTAAGTGTCTTGATAATGCTAAATTTAGAAGTGATAAAATTGTCTAACACCAAATATTGAGGATAACCCTTAAAATACTGATTTCGATTCTACCCTATACCATTTGACTTACCTAGATCTCTTCCTTCTAAAATTGATAGTTATTGAAAGTAATTGAGAAATTTATAATAACTAAAATGGTTTTAAATGTTCCCATATTAAATCTGCACTATCAAAAAATGAACATACTTACACTACAGTTAGAATATTACACTTATAAGGTTGGGGGGGGGGGCATTACCCATACAGATTGCATCTGCATAGATCGTGGATGTGCCAATAGGAGATTAGAACCATAGTGGGGTAATGGCACTCATCCAGAATAGGTATGCTCTTCACCCAGAACATAATTCATGCTGGTAGAATTTTACATGATCTGTAATCACTATTTGCCAGGCACAAACCAGATAGTCGAGGTTCCACTGCTTAGGGTTGGAATCATAGGACCAGGGTTCCAAATCCCCACGTCAGTGGATCCCAACCTGTAGCTAGAGTGATATGTTCCGAGCCATTGGAATCATGATGAAAAAGTAATGAACACTGATGTGGACAAACCTTCTCTTCAACCTGAAGAAGTCTGAAAAGCAACACCCCAAACACGGAATGATAGGATCCTGTATGCAATACAAAACCTGAGAAACACTCATCCTCCTCACTCCCCAACCATGTGGACAAGGTAAATTCCACTTGTCTCTGGAATTATGGAGAGGACATGGAACAAACTGTGCTCAACCAAGGACTCGGAATGGGACCACTCTGTATTCAGAATTACAGGAAACAATGGACCCTCTTCCATGAACGATGTGCTGAACCAATATTGATCACAAAGAAGGGCCACACTCAACTTAACCGGATAACCAAGAGTCAAATCTCAACCGTTAGTGCCTCTCCTACCAGCATCTGGAAAAAAACATCAAGGACCCCAAGTAGGAGGATGCCAACTTTGCCCTCTTCTCCAAGAGTTGTAGAAATTCACTCAACACTTTAGAGGAATAACCTCTGTTCACTACCCCAGTAACTAGAAATTGGATGTAATAAGGGCACCCTAGCTCTACTAGCAGAAGTTGGGGGGGGGGGGGGGGGTAGTGTGCATTGGGGAGTCCTGAGAAACAATGCTGCTCTGGAAACAGTGCAATTATGAACCAAGTTCCCTTAATCTTTAAAAGTAAACTGACCCCAATTTATTCAATTCAATGATCGGAAAGGAACACCTCATTTCTAAAGAGTGTATATTTCTATAGTGTGTTAGTGGTTGCTAATGTAAAATTGGTTTGATAAAAGCACACTTGCCTGGGCAACACTTGCCACGGAGTGGGACCCTGGGAAATAAAGAAACAATATTAGTAATGAAAATACTTAAACCTCCTTATAATCTTGCAGATGTGTTAAAACAGTGACTGGGGGTAGTCAAAACCCTCAGAGAAAAAATACTGAAAGATCATGCAAATAATGCGAGATAAAAGTATTGGAGGAGGTCCACATATCAGCCCACGCAATGTCCTCTAACGGGCAATTCAACCAGGCTGCTATGGGCATAAAAATATGATGAATATGAAGAGACATGTCTCACAAAAGACTCTTCACCTCCAAAGAGAACCCAGTACAAGGAGAGGGGAGTTAGTCCTGGGAAACTGAAGGATCCCAATGAATAGAAAGTTGTTGTTTTTTAAATATAAAATCAATTAAGTAACACGAAGAACACTCAAAGTATCTCCAACATTCATAGTGCAGAGAAACCTGTTAGTGAACACTTTATCAAGAAAAAGTGATAATACAATTTGAAAAAGGTGCTTATATAAAGTATCAGGATAGAAGGTATACTGACATAGGTGGAGTGTCATGTGCCAGATATCGCCAAGGACAATTAAGTGGGGAATAAAAGACTGGAGCAAACAAGAAAAATTCAGACCAATGCTTAGATGGGCAGGGGAAGGAAATCCTAGCAGTTGAGAAATAGCTGTAGTGTGAGAGGAGGTAAGTATGTTTTGGAAATACTTAATCAATTTAAAGAAATTGTAAAATTTCAAAAACACTATTTGACAACCTGAAGCCATCACATATATAAGCTCCTGAACTTTGTGGAGCTACCTAAGGAACACAAAGAAACCATCCTGGGCCCTTCAACCAAATGTTTTAAAATTGCAAATCATCACTTAATCCTTTGCCCTGGTTACTTGAAAAATATCATTTCCAGATTAACTCCATTACACTTCTGTTTTGATGGCAAACCACATGTGCTATAAACTACATAGATGACAAGGTATCTGCTTGGGTCTGTAAGGCTATCAGAAAATCAAGGTTAAAAACTTAATTAGTTTAAAATCCTGGAATAAATTTAAAACAACTATTTCTTCACTCTACTTTTCAATTTCAGTAGACTTGTACTTGAAAAATATGCTGTGCAAAGGACATCAACTTTGATGAGGTTTGTTCCATAAAAACTTGTACAAGAGATACAATGTACACAGTGCCCTGTTGCATGTATTGGAGAAAATAACCATCCCTTTCAAAAAAATTTGCAAACATGTTCAACACATTAAAACTTTTATGCAAAATAAAGTGATAGCTGAACATTTTAAGCAATATCATAGATTACCTACAAAACAACCATTTAAGTTTTACATTTTTAGAATTAACATAAATCTAAACAGTTACTTTACCCTAGAAATACAAAAATCCTTTTCTTGTTGAGTTATTCTCATGCTGATAACAAACAATTGACTAAAATTAGTCTAATGTCCTTGACACAATTCAGATGGTGCATCATGTTACCCATGATTCTCCACTTCCAACATGACTTATTGCACTTGCATAAGAATGTAGATAAGCCCTCCTTTCCTGCCATAATCCAGATTTTGTAGTTTTGAGTCATGATGGAAACCACATTTCCCAGTTGTGGAAAGAGGGTGAAAATGCATTTCAGCATTATGTACCTGTTTGAAATTCATTTTAATTCAAAACATTTTAAGTTCAAAATAGACAGATATACCTCTAAAATACAAAAAGCCAGAATACTCGCACTGAAATTGAAGGAACAAAAAGTCATAATGACCAATGGTTCATCAAAATTTGATCACTTTGGCAGGAAGGTAACAACACAGACCATAACAATCAAAAATGTGATCAAGCAGAGTTAAAGCAAATTTAGGACCAAAATAGATTCAAAGGACTGGATTCATGGGAAGACAAATGGAACTGAACAACCTCATAAGAGACTGGACAAAATGAGGGCACTCAGAAAATACATTCTTTATCATCATTCTATAATAATGTATTTAAAAAAGGTAGATAAAAATGTACATTTGGATAAAAATTATTGAAGGATTAGACCAGTAATAACTAAAGGCACATATAATTCTGAGGCTAAGGCCCTTTACATTCACATCCAATGAGGTTGGCTAGGGAGAATAAAAAAAAACTCATAAAGACCAAAGGATGGGCACTACAATTCAATGATAGTGCAATTAAAACAAAATACAGGTTAAAAAGATAAAGCAGTAAGGTCTTCCCAATCCTAGTTGAAACTAAAATACATTGTATGTTGCTGTGAAAATGGATGACTGAGGTTATATGATATTATTCCACAGTGGTAATGGGAAAGCTTCCCCATGAAAGTTGACAAAATATGGAAAATCATGGTTGAGCAGGCTGAAAGGCAGAAATGAGACGAACCTGTAACTTTGAGTAACTGATCTCGGCCAGAACCCAAGGAAAAAGGTGGAGGACATGCTTAAAATAAGATGTTCTCCCAAGACTGACTAAGGCACCCACTTCCAAAGAATCTAGAAATGGAAATGGAGACTAGTAGAGGGGAAGCAGATGGTTGGTCAATGTAGTGAAGGCATTGATTATAGAATGATCCAGATTTTTGCAAATCCACTGAAAAATCAAATGGTGAAGGGTCCACTCTGAGAGAAAAAGATGGTAACCTTGATAAAGAGAATTTGCAAGAATGTTCATCACACTTCCTCTCACCTAAAGCTACCTCAACCTTGGTTTGCCCTCTAAGCATTGCTAAATATTTTATATATCGCCAAGTTTTTTATACCTCTTCATTTTTGCACCACTGCAGAACATGTGACTACCCTCCACCAAACATACTGCACTATATATACTAGCACAGGTAACTCCCTCTATTATTCTAGTACACTTTTGAGAATTGGCAGGTAGAAATTAAAAACACCGACATATCAGTGGAGAGGAAGAGCAGGAAGTAAGTATTGGTAATACATTTTCAGTGTAAGAAAATGTTAACTTCTGAAACGGTCCTACCCCCTCTCACCCAAAACTAGAATTCCACATTGCAAAAGTGGAGGGGCTGGTGAAGGCAAAACAGTATTCAATCAAGTAGAGAACCACCTTGAAAGCACAGGTGTACCATAATAAGAAAATATGGTAAACTTGCAGGATATAGCACTACTTCTGGAACAAGTATGCTCTTTGCCCTGTAATAAAAACAGTAATACATATCAGGCAGACACCATGTTAGGTAATACAGAATCAGCCCATTATCAACACATAGTGCATAAATCATCCATGTGTGTAGCAAATGTTAGCATGGGACATGGTGATAATGAGTCATAGTAAGGTGCCTGGTAATTAGATACAAGTATATGCGGCTAGTGCTCAAGGACCATAAATTGTACATGAATAGGCCAAGTGTGCTGCGGCCAGATAAAAAACATCTACAGGAAGCTTCTGAATTTTATCTTCAGTTCACAAACTTGTTTTGTATAATCAGCCACTATTTTACGTAAAACTTCAACACAGCAATATTTGCAATGAATTAAGCCTTATTTCTGAAACAAAATATGTACATATATATTAACACAACAAAATAAGAAATATTACAAGTCAAGATGAGAATATTTTTGCTAGTTTAAAAAAATCAAATTTCTTTACCATTCAACATATTTGATTCATTAAAACAAAGCATTACCTACCAAGTGTCATTTTTCCACTGATTATACTTGGGTCTCTCTTTAGATCAGCAAGAGCAGCAAGAGGTATTCCCCAATTTGCCACTAAAATAAGAAACAAGTTTCTTTTAAATCCACGAAAAAATATTAAAGCCTTGAATAAGTTATTAAAATTTATCTTAATTTTAAAATTTCCTCAAATTTCCCAAAACAAGTCAAAAATACTAATAAAAGCATATGCAAAAGTTATTCAGCCTATTAAACCTTACAAGTAAAAAGTAAGTCATATTCCATATTCCAGAAAATATGCATACTATGACAGAATTTATTAAGTGTATTTATTAAGTAGAAAGTGTTTAGTAAACACTAGAATTCTGTTGTACACAGAAGAAAAAAAGATTTTCTGAAGAAAGTATTTCTACTAAAATTTGTATGTAAATTTCCAAAGTCTTTACTGAGTCAATCTGAGTTAAAGATGATTTTCATGCTTAGAATAAAAATACTTTTTTTTTCAACATGCAGTTTTCATATTTCATTTGCATAATCTTTAGAGCCTCCTAAATGGATATGAATTTTTTGATAAAACTATATTTTATCTTTTATTTTCTCTATCCTAATACTAGCTGTAGGGAAATCATTAGTGAAATAAAAAGTTGAAAAATATTAAATAAGTAATACCATTTTCCCTCTGCACTGACTGCAATATTGATAAGTAAGTTCTAAACTGCTTTTCTTAAAGGTTCAAATGTTAAACTTTCTGCATCTGTTTTCTTTTAATTTTAAGGTTTTATACCCATTGAAGTAGTAATCCTTTTGTCAAAAGCAGAAGATCACAGTGTGAGCCCATTAGGAGTTTCCAGAAGACTTACCATAAACAGCATGTGAAATATGCATGTACTATGCTTAGACTGGAGCTTCTGAAATTTTAGACAATATATTTTACTAAAGTTTTGCGAGGCTAAACTGGGAATTTTCTCATTTTTTGCACTTTATTTATTTTGAAACATACATAACAATAGATGGAAAATATACATAAAAAAACAGGAATTTGTAGAACTCGCATAGTTTCAAATATGCAATTTAGAACATTAAATATCAAACACTAGTGTCCCAAAAGTATTATAATTTATCTGGCTTTCTAAGTAAGCTGCAAGTAGATTAAAAAATTTCATTAGATGTTCAGAACAATAATACAATGTTCACACACAAAGAAACTATAACACTTACTCAATAGCTGTAATGAGCCTCATATATAGGAGAGCCTGTTCTTCCTATTAACGTAAACATATCAATCAACTATGTAAGGTTCATAAGCAGAACAATCTCAAATCACAGAGAGGAGAGAAGGTTTCACTGGTGGTTTTGACAACTTTATTGATATCTCAGCAAATCAAAAAGGAAGAAGGTGCAAATTCTTTCTTGCAATTAGGTCTAGTTTATGTTTCTAACTGATTGGAAACTATAGCAACCAATTCTTAGTATTAGAAATTTCTGACATATCATGTTACACACAAAAATGAAAACTGAGAATTTTTCTAATGTTCCTATTTTTGGAACTAATAAGTTAAAACTTAGTTTCTAATTAAATTTTTTATGCTATCTACCTTTCCATGAGAAGTTTATTGACATGTACATTGATAATGAAGCTGTTTAATTAAATCTGAATGTAACATGATAAAAGGACACCCCTTACTTTAAATATGTGCAACTATTAAATCCTTACCTCATGAAGTAGTTCAGTGTTTATACTTCATTTCTGATTCTTCTCTGCATCCTACCATAATTACCATCATATTATGATACAGCACTACATGAGATCTAGCCAGTCTAAAAATTTCCACTTCTAAATCCTAAATTCTAGAAATCTTAGTACCCACTAAGCCATCATTAACATTGTTCTAAAGATTTCCTTCCTTTCCAAACATTCATTTTGTATTTACCCCTCCAAAATACCAGTATTCTTTTCAAAAACTATGTTGTTTTTAAGTTCTTATGCAAGTTTTATGATGCTAGACTTCTCAATGTTAAAATATATTTATCACATTCTTAATCACTCTTAAATATAGTTTATTAGCTTACTTAGAATAAAAATATTTTCCTCAGTATCAATTTTCTCAACAAATTGATGTGGGTGTCATTAGAAAATTCAGTTAATTTACAGCTCAGTTTGCAATTATGAGAGTTTACAAAAAAAATTAACAACAAATGTCAAACAGATCCCTGAAGGACATCACTAATCAGTCATTTAAACAGAAAATTTGGGTGTTCAAAAAAAGAATTCATGGAGCTTTCAGGACCAGGGGCTTTATATTTAATTTTCCAATTTCATTAAATAAGGCATTCCCCTCATAATTTAAAAAATTTAAGATCTGCCTTTCTCCTTTATTAAAAAATTAATTTTTGATTGTGAAAACAATAGTAAAACAGTTTGGTAGATATCTAATATGAACATTTGTTCCACAGTAATAATACAATCTACATCAATGGTCCAACTTAAACCTTTCCACCAAACATGGTAATTTTAAAGTTTGAGACTCTACAGCAACTATATGCTTATAAATAAATACTGGTGCCCAGAAACATTTCTTAACCATCACATATCTTTCTTAGTACTAAAGGAATAAAACAAATCTACAAAAGAATCTTCCTGAGTAGGTTGTTCAACACATTAATGACACTTATCTTCCTTATCTTCAGAAACTCCTTGACCCTGATGAACAAAATAAATTATTTCAATTAACTTTACTAAAATTTCAGGATCCCACAATAATGAACCAATCAGTTTTCTTAACCAGATCAAGAGGCATTTAATAGAAACTAAAAAGTATATTTTGCCCTTCAGAAAGACAATAAAACACTCACCAAGGAATCTTCAACTCCTATTATATCAATCCTCTCTATTTAAACTATCTTTAAAAAACAAATACCTTTTTTTTCTCATGATCTCTAAAAAGAAAAACTACCAAGGTCACATTTTTGCACTCTTCATTCAGTTACTCTCAATAAATAATTACTTTTATATTTGCTTTAAATAACTATTACTTCTATTTATAACATTATGAATACACTTAGTATTAATATAGAATAAAGCAATTTATCATTAGCTTTCCAAATTAGCATATAATTACTCCTAATATAATTATCTTAACTTAATTCCATATTATTTTCACTAGTAATGTAAAGTTACAAGTGTTACAGAAAATAATAACTAAAAACTAAACAATATAAAATTGCTGAAATGCTGAAGATGATTTTTATAAATATGCCAAACTTTTATTTCAATTATCTTTCTGACTAGATGTGCATGTATATAACAAAAATGAAATAGTTAATTCTCTGTTTAATTTCCATTTACAGTTTTTGAACATTATGTCCATACATTATTAAACCAGCATACTATGATGACTTGCAAGATTCTGTGAAGAATAAATGAAAGAAATAACATTTAATTGAAGTAGATAGTTTCTTATTCCTAAACATTTAGTGCATTTAACATTTAATGCTTTTAATCTATTAATTTACTAGGTTCTTCTAATATAAAACATAATGGTTACTCTATCAAAAAATAGAAAGATCAATTTTACCTGGGCCCCAGAAATGCTGTAAAAAAAAAGTGAAAAATCCTATTAGAATAAGTTCAAATACACATAAAAGGCACATAAGCATTTTTCATATCTAAACCACTAGTAACATAATAATTTATAGTTTCATCAATTTCCTGCTATTATTCAACTTAAATATTAATCAGTAAAATGAGAACTTGCATTTAAAGTTTAATGTCTTCTGGAATAAAGTATTTATTAAGGTCAATTTTACATATTAACTTTCATTCTTACAGTTTCAGAACCAGTTATTTTTTAAAACCAATAACAGATATTTGACAACTATTAATGGCTGGAGACGGCTTAAATGGGTAATGAAGAA